CCCCGACCTGTGGGGCAGCCCGTGTCCCATCCCCCTCCTCTTCCTCCCCCCCTTGTGCCAGGAGGGAAAGGTTGATGGGGATAGGCCGAGCTGGCCAGGCGCCTCGGCGGCGCAGCTCCGAAGCAAAATTGGGGCCCTCGTGTAGCCACACTCGGTGCGGTTGCCCCGACGGAGGTCCAATCAGGAACTACCCTAATAAGCCCCCCCCATGGACTGGGGCAGCGCCCCTGGTCCAGGCGCCTCGGCAGCGCCCTCCGCACCAGAAGAATGGGCCCTCGTGGAACCACACTCTGTGTGGATAGTCCCGACCGGGGCGTCTCTTAGGACCAAGGGGAACAGCCCTAACGACCCCCCTGACCATCCAGTGTTTCCTCGAGGCCCCTGTGCTGACGGCCTGACTGTGCGGTTGAAGTGTTCTCGCGCACGATTGCACGGAGGAAGTGAGGAGGAGGAGGAGGAGGAGGAGGAGGAGGAGGAGGAGAGGAGGAGGAGGAGGGAGGAGGAGGAGGAGATGAGGAGGAGGAGGAGGAGAGAGGAGAAGAGGAGGAGGAGGAGGAGGAGGAGGGAGGAGGAGGAGGAGGAGGAGGAGGAGGAGGAGGAGGAGGAGGAGGAGGAGGAGGAGGAGAAGGAGGATGAGGAGGCGGCGGAGGCGGAGGCGGCGGCGGAGGCGGCGGCGGCGGAGGATGAGGAAGAGTTGGTGGTGGATGAGGAGGAGGAGGAGGAGGAGGAGGAGGAGGAGGAGGAGCAGGAGCAGGAGGAGGAGGGGAGGCGGAGGGACGCTGATGATTCGGGCGGTTATCCTTCCGCGCCTCGCGCGCAGGCCAAGCGCCTTGCGCCTATGCCGAGGCGTATATGCTGCCGCGCCGATGGCCAGCGCAAAACTCCAGCCGCAGACGCGCGGGCCGCGCGCCCCGGGCCGATGTCGAGACGCCAAGGAGCCCGACCAAGCGAGACGACGAGGAGGCCCAGGAAGCCGAGGGGGAAGCAGGCAGCAGAGGCGACAAGGAAGAGCCGAGGCGAGCCGAGCAGAGGCGACGGGGAGGCCCAGGCCCAGGCCACGCCGCGACGGCTCGCGCACCTCAGGCCTCCTACGACCTCACCGGCACCTTCAAGACGACTCCGCCGAAGAACCGACGCTCCCCGGCCTTGGTCGCCCTCGCCAAGACAGGGGCGGCTTCGCCGAAGATCCCATGACTCCCGGCCTTGAACGCCTGCTCCTGGTTGCTCAACAACGCCCTTCACCATGGCAATTGTTGCCGGACATCCAATGCTTCCGGTACTTCGTCGCCTTCACCTTCAAGACGACGACCTTGCCGACGATCCTATATGATACCAGGTCCTGACCGCCTTCTTCTGGCAGTTCTTGCCCATCGCAAGCAGCACAACATCGCTGCCATCGCTCCGCCGCGCTGCGCCGCCATGAATCGCGCGCGGCGAAGGGCCCCCCTCGGGCCCAACGGCGGCTGAGGGGAGGCGGAGGAGAAGAAGGAGGATGAGGAGGAGGAGAAGGATGAGGAGGAGGAGGAAGAGGAGGAGGAGCAGGAGGAGCAGGAAGAGGAGAAGGATGAGGAGGAGGAGGAGGAGGACGAGGACCAGGAGGAGGAGGAGGAGGAGGAGGAGGAGGTGGAGGAGGAGGAGGGGGGGGAGAAAGAGGAGGCTGAGGAGGAGGAGGAGGAGGAGGAGGAGGGGGATGGTGACGATGCTGCTGATGATGGTGATGGTGGTCATGCTGATAGTGTTGATGATGTTGATACTGATGCTGATTGTGATGCTGATGACGATGCTGATGATGCTGATGATGATAATGATGACAATGCTGATGATGACGATGACGTTGATGATGATGATGTTGATGATGATGGTGACGATGATGATTATGCTGCTGCTGATGATGCTGTGATGGTAGTGATGCTGCTGTTGATGATGATGCTGCTGATGATGGTGATGATGTTGATGATTGTGATGATGATGCTGGTGATGATGATGACGGTGACAATGATGCTGATGCGGACGCTGTTGATGATGATGCTGTGATGATTCTGATGATGATGCTGATGCTGACGATGCTGATTACGATGGTGATGCTGATGATGATGGTGATGCTGTTGATGCTGCTGCTGCTGATGATGATGATGGTGACCATGATGATGCTGATGCTGCTGATGGTGATGTCGACGATGATGCTTCTGCTAATGATGATGCTGATGATGAGGATGATGATGCTGCTGATGATGATGACGCTGATGATGTTGATGGCTGATGCTGATGATGATGATGATGATGATGATGATGATGATGATGATGATGATGATGATGATGTTCGTGATGCTGCTGCTGATGATGATGATGATGATGATGATGATGATGATGAGGATGATGCTGTTGATGCTGCTAATGATGCAGATGGTGAAGATGATGAGGATTCTGCTGCTGATGCTGTTGATGATGCTGATGGTGCTGATGATGGTGGCGATGATGCTGATTATGCTGCTGTTAATTCTTCTGATGATGATGCTGATGAGGATGATGCGGACGATGATGCCGATACTGAGGCTGCTGCTGATGATGGTGCTGATGATGATGATGATGATGATGATGATGATGTTGATGATGGTGATGATGGTCCTGCTGCTGATGTTGTTGCTGATGATGATGGTGATGATGCTGATGCTGATGCTGCTGATGATGCTGATTTTGTTGGTGATGATGATTCTGCTGCTGCTGCTGATGATGATGATGCTGCTGCTGATGCTGTTGATGATGACTATGATGATGAGGATTAGGATGAGGATGAGGATGAGGATGATAATGAGGTTGAGGATTAGGATGAGGAGGAGGAGGAGGACGAGGACGAGGACGAGGAGGAGGAGGAGTACGAGTAGAAGGAGGAGGAGGAGGAGGAGGAGGAGGAGGAGGAGGAAGAGGTGGAGGAGGAGGAGGAGGAGAGGAGGAGGAGGAGGAGGAGGAGGAGGGAGAGGAGAGAGGAGAGAGGAGAGCAGAGGAGGAGAAGTAGCAGGGAGGAGGCGGACGAGGAGGCTGATGATGATGAGGAGGAGGAGGATGAGGAGGAGGAGGAGGAGGAGGAGGAGGACCAGTGTAAATCCAAGAGCCACTAACGATGTTGGAATACACCCGCCCTGCAAGCTTCTTCTTCACAGGCCCCTACAACGGTTCATTTCCATTGGGGCATCTGCCTCGTTGGAAGACAACCGTTTGAAGACCCGGAAGCATGCCAAAACATTGTTCCCGAGTTTCCAACGCCACGGATCAACCTGACTGTTGCGTTTTGACGGTCCTGGATCGTGCCACAGCGCCGTTTCTAGGGATTCCAACACCGCGTTTCAATGTAACTGTTGCACCCGCAAAATCCGGAATCCTTCCAAAACACCATATCTGTTGCGTTGATCGTGGGAATCCGTGAAACCCTTTGCAAACTTTATGAACGTGAAGCTCTTGCAGTTTTTGGAAAACGAATGTGCGCGGCGCTGCGGCGAGACCCACATTTTGGAAGCCACCCGCCCTCCATCTGTGAAGCCGTTGCCAATTTCCAAGCCTCAGAGCCACAAATGGTGAGGAAGTCTCAGGCGAAACGCCCGGCCCGCCCTAAAAAACTGGCCTCGGGGTGCGACAGGGAGAAGTTATTTATAAGGACAAGGAATGGAGTAGAAGGAGGGGGAGGAGGAGGGTGACGATGAGAAGGAGGAGGATGAGGAGGCGGAGAAGGAGGAGGAGGATGAGGAGGAGGAGGAGGACCAGTGTAAGCACACGAGTTACCATCGATGTTGGAATCAACCCTCCCTCCAAGCTTCCTCTTTACAGGCACCTACAACGGTTCATCTCCACTGAGGGAACTGCGTCGTTGGAAGACAACCGTTTGAAGTCCCTAAAGCATTCCAAAACATTATTTTCCGGATTCCAACGCCACGGATCAACCTAACTGTTGCGTCTTGACGATCCTGAATCGTGCCAGAACGCCTTTCCTGGGACTGCGAATCAACGTACCTGTTGCGCCCTCACAATCCTGAGTCCTTCCAAGACGCTATTTCGGGTACGCTGATCAGTGGGATCCGTGAAACTCTTCTTTTTGGTTGTCAGATAAGAAAGCGGATATGCGCGGCGCTGAAGCGACAGCCATAGTTTGAAAGGAACCGCCCTCAATCCGTGAAGCTCTTGTACATTCGTACAACGAATGTACGCGGCGCGAGAGCGACAGCCACATTTTGAAAACGGACCGCCCTCAATCCGTGAAGCTCTTGCAGTTTTTGGAAAACAAATGTGCGCGTTGCTCCGGCGAGAGCCACAGTTTGAAAACCACTTTGAAAACGACCCGCCCTCCATGTGTGAAACGGTTGCCAATGTTTGAGCTTCAGGCTCATAAGTGATAAGGAAGTCTCAGGCGAAACGCCCGGCCCACCCTAAAGGCTTGCCCCAGGGTCCGACATGGAGACGTTATTCATGAGGTATAAGAGCAGCGGAGGAGGAGGAGGAGGAGGAGGAGGAGGAGGAGGAGGAGGAGGAGGAGGAGGAGGAGGAGAAGGAGCAGGAGGAGGAGGAGGCGCAGGAGAAGGGGAGTTGGAGGACGGACGAGGAACACACGAGGAGAGGCAGAAGTTAGGAGAGGAACGAAGAGGGAAGTGGAGCAGCAGTGAAGCCACGGAGGGGGGGGTGGTGGAAAGAGGAGGAAGAGAAGGATGAGGAGAGGGAGGAGAAGGAGTAGGAGGAGGAGGAGGAAGGAAGGGGAGGAGGAGGGGGAGGAGGACGACGAGGAGAAGGGGAGGATGTGAGAGAAGGGGAGGAGGGAAGGAGGGGAGGATGAGGAGGAGAGGTAGAGGAAGACGAGGAGGAGGATGGGAGCGAAGGGGAGGAGGAGGAGGAGAAGGAGGAGGAGGCGAGGAAGGCTAGGAGGTCGGGCGGGCGGCGGGGAGGGAGCGAAAAGGTGGGATTAGCAGCGGGGTGCAACGCTCGAGCTGGCCGCGGCAGGGGGGGGGGGGGGCTGCTCGGAGGAGGGCAGACTACATCAAGGCGTTGACCGAGGCGCGGGAGCCTCCGCGGGGCTTGGGTAGGGTGGGGAGGGGGGGGAGGGTAGCGGGAGCGGTCAGCGGAAACGGGCCGCCGAGAGCGGGCGGAGTTAGGGGTGAGGATGGAGGAGGGAGGTGGATGGGGGGTATGGGGGGGGGGGGGGGGGCGGGTGGAGGGAGAGGGGGGGGGGATAAGGGGAGGGGGGGAGTGGGGGAGCGGGGTGGTGGGAGACGGAGGAGGTGGGGCAGGTGGGTGGGTGGCTGGAAGGTATGAGGGATGGGGAGGGATACGGGGAGGGAGGGTGATGGGAAGGGGTGGAGGGAGGGGAGAGTGGGGGGAACGGCAAGTGCGCTCGCGCCATGTTTAACACCCTACCCCTTTCACCCATCCTTTACCATTGCGCTGTTTTTTTCTCTATCCGCGGACGCGTGCCATAATGGACCCAGAACTTCCCCCACAACCCATCGTGGTATGTGCAATCAGGAAGGTGGAGTCGAGCAGGAGGAGAAGGAGGAGAAGGAGGAGAAGGAGGACGGAGGAGGAGGAGGAGGAGGAGGAGGAGGAGGAGGAGTGAGGAGGGGAGGAGGGAGGAGGAGGAGGAGGAGGAGGAGGAGAGAAGTGGAGGAGGAGGAGGAGGTGGAGGAGGAGGAGGAGGTGGAGGAGGAGGAAGATGTGGAGGAGGAGGAGGAGGAGGGAGGGAGGAGGAGGAGGAGGAGGAAGAGGAAGGAGGGAGAGGAGGAGGAGGAGGAGGAGGAGGAAGGAGGAGGAGGAGGAGGATGGAGGAGGAGGAGGAGGAGGAGGAGAGGAGGAGGAGGAGGAGGAGGAGTAGAGGAGGGAGGAGGAGGAGGAGGGGGAGGAGGAGGAGGACGAGGACGAGGACGAGGACGAGGACGAGGACGAGGACGAGGTCGAGGACGAGGACGAACAGCATCAGCAGCAGCAGCAGCAGCAGCAGCAGCAGCAGCAGCAGCAGCAGCGGCAGCAGCAGCAGCAGCAGCAGCAGCAGCAGCAGCAGCAGCAGCAGCAGCGGGAATACGAGTGGAACTAGGAGTGGGAATAGGAGTGAAATGAGCTGGAGGAGCAGGAGGACCAGGGGGAGGCGGAGGAGGGGAACATGAGAGGGGCGGCAACGCGGAGGAAGGGCTCGGATCCAGAACAGTCCCGCGCTGGGGCGAGAGCGCCATTCTGAACGACGGGAGCAGCGCGCCGATCTAAAAAGCGAGGCCCGCGCTTCAGCGGGAACCGTTTTTTGGCACACCGAGGGCAATCGGAATGTAAGACACCGTCGGAGCAACCGCTCTTGTCCAATCCTGCGTGTGAAATGATGCGCGGCAAGAGCAGGACATCTTGCGGATCGAGTCGGGGAAGAGAGGAGAGTAGTATTCGTAATGTGTATTCGGAAAGGGAGGAGGATAGGCTACATGGGAGAAGAGAGGGGGTAAGACGGGGAGGGAGTTGAATCCTGCTCGCCGTAGAGGTAGCTTGCTGAGCTAATGGCGCGTGGTGAGTCAGGCGTTTTGTCATGTGGGCTAGTCGGGAACTGGACCTCCGTGTTGCTTCGGCCCCGAATCACCAAACACGAGCGACGTATACATCCATATCCATGATCGAGGGGGCAATGGATAAGGCTTCCTCCGCCTGGCGATGGCCGCGCTATGCGCAGTTTCGTTCGACTTGTCAGCCGCCCGTTCGAATGTTGCGCCTGAGCCGTCGCTATCACCTATGTGCTGGAATACGGCACTGGGTCCAGGCTGGCTCTTGTATGGTCTCCCCTTAACATCCTCAACGAATTACCGCCTCTGCCTCCTCCCACTCTTCTGGCCCCTTTATGCAGCCCCTCCAATGTCTTACTCTTCCTCTCGCTCTTTCTCTACAGTTAATTTCACTCCTGTCTTCTCTCCTCCTCCATCCCTTCCCCACTCTTCAAGCGCTTCTTCAATCCATTCCTTCCCGTCCTCTCCCTCTGGCCCAGGCCCTGATTAGGTCGTTCCTCAGCTTCTCGTCGCTGATTGCAGGGATCTTCGGGATGGGCCAAGGTTCTGTCAGGGAGGAGGAGCGTGCAGGATGGGAAGAATGGAGAAGGTGCAGAAGGAAGACGAGGAGGGAGGGAGGACGGAGGAGGGAGCTGAGGAGGAGAAGGGCCTCCAACTAGCAGCGCTGACATTTCAGGGAGCTTTCTTCGTGTCAATGTATGCCCGACGACCTCGGCGACGGAGTGATGAGGAAGCCTCCCATTGCCTTCTCCGCCGCTCCCGCTCCCCCTCCCCCCTCCCCTCCGTTTTTGCTTCCCTTCTGTATCCCCTTCCTCTCCCCCCTTCCACTACCATCCTTCTCCCTTCTCCCTTCCCCCTTCCATTCCCCCTCCCCCCTCCCCCTCCCCCTCCCCCCCTCCCCTCTCCCCCTCCCCCACCCATCCCGTTTTCCCCACCTCCCCATTCCCCCTCCCCCTCCCCCCTTCCCCACTCCCCTCCCTCCCCCCCTCCCCTCACCTCCTTTTTCCCCTCTCCCCCCCCCCTCTCCTTCCTCCTTTTTCTCATACCCTTCTCTTCCGCCCTTACTTCCTCACCCGATCCTCTCTCTCTCTCTCTCTCTCCCCTGCCCCCCCACGTCAACTGGAGCCAGTTTCTTTATTGCTTGGGGCATGACGGGCGTCATGGCCCCCGCTCCACCTCCCCCCCCTCTGACGTAACGCTCCCCCTCAGTGCGCTCCGGGCACTGCCGCCGTACGCATTGGGATCCGCGTAGGTGTCCGTGTAGGAATCCGCATAAGAGTCTGGTCCGCAGTCGTCGTCGTCGTCGTCGTCGTCGTCGTCGTCGTCGTCGTCGTCGTCGTCGTCGTCGTCGTCGCGTCGTCGTCGTCGTCGCTCGTGGCTTGTCGCTCGTCGCTCATAGTCGTCGTGCGCGCGGACGCGGCTAAAGCCTGTTATGTATTCCGGGCCGATGATGGCAATCGTCTCGGGGGGGTGGAGGGGGTCGATGACGTCATGTTTCGCGCCGTCGGCGTCTGGGAATGCGTAGGAATGACGGAGGGCGGGTAGCGCCAGCATGTAGGTGGCGATTTGCACCACAACGCTTGTGTACACCACAGTGCCTGCGTGCACCACAGCGCATGTGTACCCACACCGCCTATGTACACCACAGCAGCCGACGGCAACACAGCGTCAGTTTGCGCCACTGTGCCTGCGGGCACAGCAGCTCTTCTGCACACCACAGCGCTTGAGTACACCACATCAGCCGTGTGCAACACAGCACCAGTGTACACGTGTACACCACAATGCCTGCGTGCATTGCCGTGCGTGTGTGCACCACGGCGCCCGTGTGCACCACAGCAACCGTGTGCAACACTGCACCACTGTTGTATACAGAATGTTATAACGAACCGTTATGACAAAATGGAGCGCTTGTGGGTTCCATAGGAAACGATAACACATAATCCTTATGGAGAACGGAGCGCCGCTGGAATTTACGCGTCCTCCCGAGTTCGCCCGCATCACCCTAGCTCATCCCATCTGCGTCCAGGAGGCTCCAGCTAGATTGGCCGTCCGAGAACCAAGTGGACCGATTCGATCGACCATTCTGCGGTGCGCGCTGAGATGCGCACGTGCGCTGTAGCGCCAACCCGCACGACAGGGCAGAAGGGGGTAAAGGAGGAGGAGGAGAAAAAAGAGGAGGAGGAGGAAGAGGAGGAGGAGGATGAGGAGGAGAATGAGGAGGAGGTGGTGGAGGTGGAGGAGGAGGAGGAGGAGGGAGGCGGGAAAAACGTCGCATTCGATTAGCAGCATGTCCCTGGCGTGGCGTCTAGTTGTCCGCGGCAGATCCTCACATACATGCTCCGTCTACTTGTCCTATGCACGCAGGCATTGTGGTGTATAGCAGCGCTGCGTCGCACGCGGATGCTGTGGTGTAGACGCGCGTTGTGGCGTGCACAGGCGCTTCGGTGCACGCAAGCATTGTGGTGTACACAGGCGCTGTGATGCACATGGTAGCTGCGGTGTGCACATGCACACCGGCGCTGCAGTGTACGCAAGCACTGTGCTGTACACAAGCATTGTGTTGCACACGGTTGTTGCGGTGTACGCAGGCGCTGTGGTATACACGCTCGCTGTGGTGCACGCGAGCGTTGTGGTGTACATAGGCGCAGTGGGGCAGATCGCCACCTACATGCTGCTCGCGTCGTCGTCGTCGTCGTCGTCGTCGTCGTCGTCGCTCGTCGCTCGTCGCTCGTCGCTCGTCGCTCGTCGCGTCGCGCGGGCTGCGGTGCTGGAGCCACACGGCGGGGGGGGCGTTACGTCATACCCCCCCCCCCATGACGCACGCCAATCCTGGGCCCAGGCTTGGTGTGTATGCCTTCCTGGCCAGACCGGTAGGAGTACACACATCGGGCCCAGGGTGGGCCTGGCCAGGATCGGTGTTGGTGCACAGTTGGTGAGTGGAGGGGGAGGGATTGGGTGGGAGCGTTCCGGAGTATCCTCCGAACGCTGTCGGCGAGGCGCTTCAGGGTCGGATGGCGGCCGTTGGGGACGATCCGAGCATCCCCAGGCTGCCCCCGGCGAGGCGCAGTTGCAGGAAAGCCTCCCGAGGTTGGAAAACCCACAGAAACGACGACAACGTCTGAAAACCGCCCGTCGTGTTTTTTTTCACAGCGCGAGGAGGTGGGGGTCCTCCCCGTCTCCACCTCGCCGGCGATCGCGACGAAGGGTGGCGACGGTGCACAGCGTACAGCGGCAGCAGCGGCCCCATCGGGGAGCCGTCGTGGTCGTCTTCGTCGTCGTCGTAGTCGAGACGAGGTGAGGGGGAGGCGGAGGGTGGAGGGGGGGAAGGTGGCGGGGGGGGGGTAGGGACGGGATGAGGGGGAGGAAAGGGTGGGGGGAGGGGGGAGGGGGCGGAGGGAGGGGTAGGGGAGGAGGGGGGGGAACGGGGACGCGGAGGGTGGATATGGGGATGGGGGGAGGGGGCGGAGTGGAGGGGAGGACGAGGATGGGGCGGGACCAGGATGGGGGAGGGGAGGAGGGGGAGGACGAGGAGGAGGTGGAGGGAGGAGGACGAGGGCCTCGTCATCCTCCCCTTTCCCCTCCCGTCGGCGGCGCGCGGCGCGCAGCGCGCCGCGCCCTGGAGGCGAGGGGGAAGGCCGCGGCCGCAGCGGCTGAGAGGGAGGCCGCGGATCAGGCGAGGTTGTCGTCGTCGTCGTCGTCGTCGTCGTCGTCGTCGTTGTCGCAACTGCCGCCGCCGCAGCCGCCGCCGCTGCCGCAGCCGCCGCCGCCTCCGTCGTCGTTGTCGTCGTCGTCGTCGTCGTCGTCGTCGTCGTGATGGTCGTCCTCGTTTTCGTCGTCATCGTCATCGTCGGCGTCGTCCTCGTCCTCGTCCTCGGCCCTGTCGTCGACGTTGTCGTCGTCGTCGTCGTCGTCGTCGTCGTCGTCGTGAGGCTGTCCAGCAACTTCCAGTGGCTCCGAGATTCTCGCTTTCTAGTGCGATTCTTTGTGACCTGAAGCGTTTTGGCATCACATGTGAAGCTCGTGCAGTGGAGCCCAGCGCCCGTGCCGCTCTGTTCCGTGCTGCTCTGCGCTCTGATGAATTTGCTCGCGGTCGTGAATATCTGGAAGAGTTTACTCGACATGATGATTGTGAACTATTTTATATGAGATATCCCACATATCGGAGCTTTTCTTTCATCCAAATACGTACCAACTTCGAGTCCCTTATCGACATACCCTGTATCCCCACGGAGCTCACCAATGGCCTCCAGAGTAAAATTGTGAGATTCCTGTCTCGTCTCTTCTACCCCCTCCCCTCTGATCGCTCTTTTGGCGCCCGTCTGAACTACTGGTGCCCCCTTTCCCCGCAGCAATGTGATGTAACGATGACTAGACTTTGTAGGATTGGTCAGAAACTCGGTTCTTGTGTAGCGAGCTCAGTGTTAAAAACGCTGTGCAATGCTTGGGCCACTTCCCGTCGGTTCCGTGCGGGCCGTGCTGGATGCAGGTTTGGTTGCTACGCTGTAGGAGGAGACGATGTCCTTCATTATTTTGTGTGCCCGAATCTGGTCCCTCGTGTCCGTGAGTGCCTTCCATGCCTTCCCCCTTGCTGGGGTTCGGATCCTATTTCCTCCTTTGTCCTTGCGCTTGTCCCTCTCATCGAATCTGACAGCCTGCTCAGTGTCGGTCTTGCAATAGATGCCGTGCATGCCTCTTTCAACGCCCAAAGGACTTCTGGGTCTGTGGGTCCCAGGTCTGCCCGCCTCTCACTGTCTGCCCGACTGCGGGCCAATGCAATCAGATGCTCTGTGGCACGATCTCTAGTACGAGGTCTTCGAGGCGCGGGGATGGACGGTTAGCGGACGGACTTTCTTGTCCTCTTCTCGCCCTCTTGCCCGCTTGCCCTCGTCTCGTTCTTTCAAGCCGAGTCATGTGTCGTCGTCGTCGTCGTCGTCGTCGTCGTCGTCGTCGTCGTCGTCGTCGTCATCGTCGTTTTCGTCGCCGTCGTCGTCGTCGTCGTCGTCGTCGTCGTAGTCGTCGTCGTCGTCGTCGTCGTCGTCGTCGTCGTCGTCGTCGTCGTCGTGGTCGTTGTTTGCGTTGTCATTTTCGGTGTTGTTTTCGTCGTTGTTTTTGTCATTGTTTTCGTCGTCGTCGTCGTCGTCGTCGTCGGCGTCAGGGCGTGGCATCCCAGAATCCCCCCTGGAAACAAGAATCCCAGCCTCCCCTCAGGAGGGGTTGGGCGTTTTGGTTTCCTCTTGGACCCCCCCCAGAGGTTTTTTCCAGGGGCGGGGTAGGAGGGGTGGGGGGGGTCTTGTTTTTTCCTTCAGAACCCCTCCCTCAGGTGGGTATTTAGGAGGGGCTGAGGGGGCTTAGAGGGGCTTCCCCACGGAACCCCCCTCTCAGCTCCCCCTCATGTATTTATAGTCGACTGGTTACGGGGAGTTGGGTTGTTTCCATCCGGAACCCTCCCTCAGGGTTGTTTTTTTTTTTGGGGGGGGGTAGAGGGGTTTAGTTTAGTTAGGTTTCCCCCCCCAGACCCCCACCTCAGGGTTTTTGTTGGGGAGGTTAGGGGGGGTCAGAAGCGTTTCCCCCTCCCCCCGCTGGACCCTCCCCCTCAGAGAGAATTCTTCTCTGAGAGTGGGGGGCCCCGGGGACAAATACTCCCCCTTCCCCAATTAACCTTCTCCAGCCCCCTCCGTTGAGGGGGTTCTGGGAGAAAACAAGGCCTAACCCTTAACCACTTCAACCCCCCTTCCTGAGGGGGGTCCGGGGGGAAATTCGCCCCCAAGAAAAACTCTTGCTAAGGGAGGATTCCGGGGAGGAAATCCTTTCAACCGCCCCTGGCCCTCTCCCCCGCTGAGGGGGGGTGATGGCGGTTTGGGGCCCCCTCCCCCCCTTTTGAAGGGGCTTTCGCAGGGTGTGTTCAGAAGGGGGTTTTCGATTCTAGTTTGGTTTTTTACTTTGGCGCCCTGGGTCCCCCCAAAGCCCCCCCAAACCTCCTCCTCCCCCCCTGGGTCCGGGAATCCTGATGTTGTTTTTCATTGTTGTTTCGTCTGGGTTTTTGTCATTGTTTTCGTCTTCGTCGTCGTCGTCCTCGTCCTCGTAGTTTTCTTCGTTGTCGCTTTCGTCGTCGTCGTGGTTGTCGTCGTCGTCGTCGTCGTCGTCGTCGTCGTCGTCGTCGTCGTCGTCGACAAGACGAGAGTTGGAGGTGTCAACCAGCTTTGAACGGGCACCGCTCATTTGCATCGGTATTCAGCATGCCACGTAGATACTCGCCCTTACTCTCCCGAGGCTAACATGGATGTCGACCCACCGCCACTCCCGCGTCCACAGGGGGCATAAAGGTGGCCATGCATTTGTGCTTCTCTGGCGCCGTCGGCTCCTGTTTCCGTCGGCCCCCCCCAACGAATCGGGTCGGACGAAAGGGCGGAATGGAGAAAGGGGGGGGGGTACGACATCCGCTGCATACAACTGGTTTCGGCCCACCGCAGCGGCGCTTTTCCTCAATACGCTGGCGCCTCGGGATCTAGGAGGCGCCTGGGAAATCCGCGCCCCCCTGAGGTTTTCCCCCCCCCCCCCCCCCCCCCGCCCTTCCGGCTGACATGAGCGATCCCTTCGGGTGCGGCCTCCTCCATGAGATCCGACGGCGCAACCAAAACTGCGCAGCTTGAGAAACATCACGACCGGAGCCCTGGACCCCATCCTCCTGCGTCATCTGTCGCGGCGGATCGATCCGTGCGACTGCCGGGGCCCGCACCCGAGCGGAAAAGGCCCGGGGGAGGAGGAGGAGGAGGAGGAGGAGGAGGAGGAGGAGGAGGAGGAGGAGGAGGAGGAGGAGGAGGGAGGAGGTGGAGGAGAGGGGAGGAGGAGGAGGAGGAGGAGGAGGAGGAGGAGGAGGAGGAGGAGGAGGAGGAGGGAGGAGGAGGAGGAGGAGGACGGAGGAGGAGGAGGAGGAGGAGGAGGAGGAGGAGGAGCTCGAAACATTGAAGGCGCCAGGCTCTCGGGGCTCCTTGGAGCCGCTCGGCCCTCCCTGCGGGCCTCGGCCGTGCGCTTCTCGCAGGCTGCGGCGCGCCCCGGACGAGCGCGCGTGCCGTCCGCAGGGGGGGGGGCGCCCGTGCACCGGACCCGCGTCTGGCCGGGAGTCGCCTGTGCCCCTTGCAAGATGAGGGCCGCTTTGGGCTCCAGGAGGGCCCCCTCCTCCTCCCTCCTCCTCCTCCTCCTCCTCCGCCTCCCCCCTCCTCCTCCTTCTCCAGCCCCCCTCCTCCTCCCCCTCCCCCTCCTCCTCCTCCTCCTCCTCCGCCTCCTTCGGAGGAGGAAAAGGTAGCCATACCGCTACCCTTCGCCCGTTCTCCTCCTCTTTCGCCCTCCCGGGAGGCCGCCCTCGTCGCCACCGCTGGATGCGCTTCGAATTTCTGGTCGGAACGCACCCCGAGAGGGATCCGTGGAGTAGCGGTATCATTGCCTTTTGGTTTCCCTTTTTTTGGAGGGGGTCCACTTTTCGGGCACGGTCCCTAGATCTGTGTCGGGGAGCTTGTCGGGGCTGGAGGTGGCTGGATACCTCCCGTCGTGACTTTGCTACGCATGGGATGAAGTCAATGACAAAAACATGAACTGATTGGCCGTGGTGAGGCGGCTACGATGCCCATCTCGAGGACCGCTATGATGCGAATCCGGCCCCGAACCGTGTTCAAAAAGATGTTGAGGTCGAATGTCTATGATGACCTTCTTCCCAAAACGAGCCTTCCTGATGGTCTCGAATTGGGCGCGAGGTGCCCATGATGGCCCTCTGTGCCCACCCCGTCCCACTCACAGGGGCTTCGCATCCCCGTATGATGGTGGGATGGGTGAGTGGTCCGCCTCCCCCCGCGCTGCACGTATGGCTCCAGGTTCATGGGGATTTGGTCCGCAAGCGGCGTGCACGATGTCCATGGGCCACTGCCGCCACGCCTACTACGCATCCCGACCTGGCGCCGACCACGAACCCCCCCCCCCCAAGCACGGCGGTCCCTAGGCGAGGCGTGTCGCCGCAGCCGCCGCCACCTCGCGGCAGCACGCCCCTTGGGAACGTCGCGCTGGGCAGCCCAACAAAGCACCCCCCACAAACGCACAGCCGCCAGTCGCGGAGGAAAAGGGCGCCGACACGGAGCAAGATGCCAAGCTGGTCAACAGCACAACCACCTCGCTGTCCTTTACCCCGCGCGCACCTGCTCAGCTTCGGACGAGCCTCCCTCCCCTCTCCAGAGCCTCAGAGCCACTGGAGCAACGACTGCGCACGGCGTGGTCATTAAGTGCCCACTGCCTGGACAGCTTCGCCCAGGGCGATGGTCTCGGCAAGGAGCGAAGCGCAGCTGCCCCGACACGCCCGTGCTGGAACGCAGCACGTCCCGTGCTCGAAGCCTCCGTGTTGACACGCTGCGTGTCCGCCTCGCGTCCTCGGCCGACGCGTGGAGCTCCGTGCCCGCACGCCACGCGCTGCGTGCGGCGTGTCGCGGCGGCGGTGGCACGACGAGGCGGGATCACACGTAGCAGAGTTCAGCGATCGGGGCCCCCTATGGCCCCTCCTCCTCCTCCCTCCCTCCCTCCTCCTCGCTCCTGCTCTCCTCCCTCCCTCCCTCCCCTCCCTCCCCCCCCTCCCCCCCCTCCCTCCCCCCCCTCCTCCTCGCTCCTGCCCTCCCGGCGGGGGCGGCGGGCGCCCGCTCCCGGGGCCACGCCTCCCTCGGGGGGCCGCGGTGGCTATAGTGGCCCCGCCGGCGGCGGCGAGGCGGAGATCGACGCCGAGGAGGAGAGGGCCGCCGCCGAGGCGGCGGTGGACCAGCAGGTTCGGGGGATCGTCGCCATGGGCGGAACGCGTCCCGAGGGGAACTGCAGGCCTCCCACAACCAGCCTCGAACGTATCCCCATCCCTAAGATTGACAAGGCCAAAAGGCGATGACGATCTTAGGGATTCGCTTGCAATAGATAAGGGAATCCCCAAGATTGGCATCGTGATGAGGAGGTGCCCAGCATAGGGATAGGGATATGCTCCAGGCTGGTAATCCCAGACGGGGCCCGAGTATATATGGGGCCGGAGGAGCGCGCCGGCGGTGCGGCTGGCTGTGGGGCCCCCGAGGCTGACAGCGCCGGCGTCGCCGATACACCGCGGACGTCGCCGACGCGTCGCCGCGTCGCCGAGGCATCGGCGATCCTGCGCGCTTTTCTTTCGACCCCCTCTGCTCGGACCCCATCTATCGGGGGCGGCAAAGAGGGGGGTGATGACTGGGAGGGTGTGGATATCATGGCGGGGGCCATGATTGCGAAGGCCTTACGGCTGGTGCCGCCGACCCTGAATGGCGACGACGACGACGACGACGACGACGACGACGACGACGACGACGACGACGACGACGACGACGACGACGACGACGACGACGACGACGACGACGACGACGACTCTTGGGGGCCTCTTGGGGGTAGTTTGTGGGCCTCTTGGGAAGCTCTTAGGGGCCGCTTGGAAGCCTCGTGGGGGCCTCTTGGGGCTTCCTGGGGGTCTCTTGGAGGGGGCCTGGGACGTCTTGGAGGCTTCTTGGACGGTCTTGGGGCTATCTTGGGCGTTTTCGGCCGATCTTTGGGCGACTCGGGGCCCTCTTGGGCCGTCTCGGGGGCCATCTTGGGCATTCGGACCTCATTTGGAGTGTTTTCGAGGTTTCTAGGCCGCCCGAGGAAAAACGAATCTGCCCCCCCACCCCCCCCGGGACCCCCCCCGGGACCCCCCCGGGACCCCCCCCGGGACCCCCCCGGACCCCCCCCCGGGACCCCCCCCGGGACCCCCCCCCCTTGGGGAAGGGATCAAAGGGAAGGGGCTTCCCTTCGACTCGATTACGACACTGCTCGATTTTTCTCTCGCTCACGAGCTTGAGAAGGAAGGTGCAGGGAAAGGGGACGACGGAGGCGACGGCCGACGAAGACGACGACTCGAACAGCCAAGCCCCTCGCACACGCCGACAGGGTCGGCGGATTTTTCCTCAGATTTCATGGCGCCTCTTCTTGTTTCAGTATGTCCCCGGCCCCCCCGCTGGGCCGCGCACGTGCCGCCGATCATGACTTGCACCCCCCCCCCTGGACACCCCCCTCTTGGCCGCTCCCGAGAGGGCGTCGGACGAAATTAGCCCAAGGATGAGGTCTTTAGATGTGTTCCCGCCATGCGCCTCTCGGCGGGGGGTGAAACTCGGCCCTCCTCCGCCTGCTCCTCCTCCTCCTCCTCCTCCTCCTCCTCCTCCTCCTCCTCCTCCTCCTCCTCTTGGACCCCCCCCCCCTGGACACCCCCCTCGTGGCCGCTCCCGAATCCAGGAGGCCTCCAGGAACGGGGGTCGGGCTTTTCGCCGTGGTCGGGCTCTGGGGGCCCTCCGCCGGCCCCCGGGGCCGTCGGAGAGAGCGGCTCGGGGTGCAGCAGGGCCGGTCCCGGGGGGGGAGGGCGCCAGGGCCCGGGGCCCGGTTCTCCCGCAGGAGGGCTCGTTGGGAGACACGGGGTGGGGGGGAGGGAGCTGGAGGGAGGACGGATATGGAGGGGGGCGGAGGGAGGAGGAGGACGGAGGAGGCAGGAGGACCCGCAGGGTGGGGGGACGGAAGGGGGCATGTCGGGAGAGGGGTTGGCAGGGGGAGGGCGGGGGACGATGATGATGATGATGATGATGATGATGATGATGATGATGATGATGATGATGATGATGATGATGATGATGATGATGATGATGATGGTGATGGTGATGGTGATGGTGATGATGCTGATAATGATGATGATGGTGATGGTGATGGTGATGATGCTGATGATGATGATGATGCTGATGATGATGATGATGATGATGATGATGATGATGATGGTGTTGGTGGTGGTGGTGGTGGTGATGATGATGATGGTGATGATGATGATGGTGATGGTGATGATGATGATGGTGGTGGTGGTGGTAGTGATGATGATGATTATGGTGATGATGATTATGGTGATGATGATGAGGAGGACGAGGAGCAGGAGGAGGAGGAGCAGATGAGGAGGAGGAGGAGGGGGGAAGGCGGGGGGTCTGTACGCAGAGAACTGTGGAGCAGGAATCTGGCACACTTGCAGGTAGACAGTCTTGAGATCAAAGTTGCTATCAAGGGGGTGTTCAAGTCGCTGGGTACACTTGTCACGGACAGCGGTGAGATGATGTACGAAGTCGCGCAGAGGACCGCCCAAACACAGGGATATTTTTGTCTCATCCAGAGGACCCTAGGACCCAGGAGAGCATCTGCTAGTGACCTGAAGATCACATACGCTGAAGCGTATGCCATGAGTGGATTTTTGTACAATTCCGCTTTTGCCACCGCCTCCCCAGCCAGCCGTCGCACTGCACGTCGCCGCTCGTGCGGAGGCGCACCGGCCCAGAGGCCCCCTGGAGGTCTGGCGGGGTGCCTGGAGGCATCCGGTGGCCCCCGGAGCAGGCACAAGACCCCCACAGCAAAGGCCAGGATCCTCGATCCCAGCTGGAGGTGCGAGGGGAGAGAGGGCAAGGGTGCTCGCGGTTCGGTCTGTTCGGCTGCGCCGCAGTCGGCTGCGCTCTCGGTCGGCTCGGTACGATCGGTTCTCGTGCTGTTGCCGCGCCGCTGCGCCCTCCCAGGCTGCTCGCGGACTGTCGATTTAGGTTTCGGCTTCGGTTTCGCTGCAGGTTCTGTCGGTTTTCGGTTCTGCTGTCGCCGTGGATCGCCTTGGAGGAAGTAACGAGGATGTTTTCGCTCGCAGGCGCGCGGACGTCTTTGGCGGGTCTCGGTGGTGTGGGCCCCCTCTCAAGCCGCCCGAGCTCGGCGGGGGCGCCCGAGGCTCTTCGTAGGACGATGAGGATGAGGATGAGGATGAGGATGAGGAAGAGGAGGATGACGATGATGATGATGATGATGATGATGATGATGATGATGATGATGATGATGATGATGATGATGATGAGGATGAGGATGATGATGAGGATGCGGATGAGGATGAGGATGAGGAGGAGGGAGGAGGGAGGAGGAGGTTTTCCTAAGCTCTCGTGGGTTCTTGGAAGTTTTCTATCAGTTGCGCCTTGTCAAGAGCGTTCCCAGGGTGCCCAGATCGTCTCGAACGGCCGCCAGAGAGCTAAGTTATCTATCTAAGACGCCTACGGCGAATCACCGCCGCCCCCTGCCTTTTTGGAAGCGCCTATGTGGCCGAACGTCTTGGGCCGTCTTGGAGGCCTCTTGGGGGCCTCTGCGCCCGTCTTGGGCCATCTTGAGCCCATCTAAGTCCGTCTTGGGTGCATCTTGGGCCGTCTTGGAGGCATCTTGGGGCCATCTTAGCCGTCTTGGAGGCCATCTTGGCCGTCTTGGAGGCCATCTTGGAGGCCATCTTGGCCGTCTTGGAGGCCATCTTGGGCGTCTTGGAGGCCTCTTGGGGGCCTCTGCGCCCGTCTTGGGCCATCTTGAGCCCATCTAAGTCCGTCTTGGGTGCATCTTGGGCCGTCTTGGAGGCATCTTGGGGCCATCTTAGCCGTCTTGGAGGCCATCTTGGCCGTCTTGGAGGCATCTTGGAGGCCATCTTGGCCGTCTTGGAGGCCATCTTGGGCGTCTTGGAAGCCTCTTGGGCCGACTTGGGGCCGTCTTGGGGCCCTCTTTGAGCCGTCTTGGAGGCCCCTTGGGCCGTCACGGGGCCATCTTGGAGGCCTCTTGGGCGATCTTGGGGCGATCTTGGGGGTCTCTTGGGCCGTCTGGGGCCGTCGGAAAGCCGAAAAGGCGCAAATGCCAAAATCCATCAAAAACCCAGGAAATCAATGATTTTCGCCTCTTCGGGCCTTCCTGGAGGACCTCTCTTGGAGGCCTCTTGGGCCGTCTTGGAGGCCTCTTGGGCCGTCTTGGAGGCCTCTTGGGGGCCTCTTGGGCCGTCTTGGGCCATCTTCAGGCTATCTTAGGCCGTCTAGGGTACATCTTGGGCCGTCTTGGAGGCATCTTGGGGCCATCTGAGCCGTCTTGGAGGCCATCTTGGCTGTCTTGGAGGCATCTTGGCCGTCTTGGAGGCCATCTTGGGGCGTCTTGGGGGCCATCTTGGGGCCGTCTGGGGCAGGAAAACCGTTTGCAACCGGGTCTTCCGGGTGGCCGGCGGGACGCGCCGGAGCCCCAGGGGGAGTTCTTTTGGAAAATGAGCCAAAACCAAAAGCCATGTAGTTCGGCACGCCAGGCACCCCTTTGATAAATCGACAGGGGGCGGCGGATCGAAGACGCCTACGGCGAATCACCGCCGCCTCCTGCCTTTTTGGAAGCGCCTATGTGGCCGAACGTTGAGGCCAGACCTGCCAAGCTATCAGACCATGTGTTCCCCGAATCGGTTTGGAAAGCCTTCGGGAAACACGTGGGCATCTTGAAGGTCATCTTGGCCGTCTGCAGGCCATTTTGACCAATTCGGGGCTTCTTGGAGGACTTCTTGGAGGGCTCTTGGGCTGTCTTGGAGGCCACCTTGCGCGTGTTGGAGACCTCTTGGGCCGTCTTGGGGGCCTCTTGGGGGCATGTCTTGGGCCTCTTGGGCGATCTTTGGGGGCACTTGGGACGTCTCGGGCCGTCGGAAGGCAGAAAAAAAGCAAATGCCACAATCTTTCACAATTTTTGCATTTTCGGGCCTTCCTGGAGGCCCTCTTGGAGGCCTTTTGGGCCGTCTTGGGCGCTCTTAGGGCCATGTTCGGCCGTCTTGGTGGGCTCCTGGTCCGTCTGACGCCGTCCGAAGCTGTTTGGGGGGCCTCTATGGGCCGACTTGGGGCCCTCTTGGAATGCTCCAGGGCCGTCTTGGAGGCCATCTTGGGCGTCTTAAAGGCCTCCTGTGCTGTCTTGGGGGCCTCTTGGGGCCGTCTTGGGGCCCTCTTGGGCCGTTCTGGGGCCATCTTGGAGGCCTCTTGGGCGATCTTTAGGCGATCTTTGGGGGCTCTTGGGCCGTCTCGGGCCGTCAGAAGGCGGAAAAGAAGCAAATGTCAAAATCCGTCAAAAGCCATAGCAAAATCAATGTTTGTGGCCTCTTCGGGCCTTCCTGGGGGCTCTCTTGGGGGCCTCTTGGGCCGTCTTGGGCCAGCTTCGAGCCAACTTCGGCCATCTTGGTGGGTTCCTGGCACGTCTGACGCTGTCGGGAGCCGTCTTGGGGGCCTTTCTGGGCAGACTTGGGGCCCCCTTGGGGCGCTTCGGGGCCGTCTTGGAGGCCATCTTGGGCGTGTTGGAGGCCTCTTGGGCCGTTTTTGGGCCTGCTTGGGGCCGTCTTGGAGGCCACTTGGGCCGTCCTGGGGCCCTGTTGGGGGCCACTTGGGCCGTCATGGGGCCCTCTTGGGGGCCTCTTGGGCGATCTTGGGGGCCTCTTGGACCGTTTTGAGCCGTCGGAATGCCGAGAAGAAGCAAATTCCAAAATCCTTCAAAAACCAATGGAAAATCAATGATTTCGGCCTCTTCGGGCCCTCCTGGAGGACCTCTTGGAGGCCTCTTGGGCCGTCTTGGAGGCCTCTTCGGGGCCTCTTGGGCCGTCTTGGGCCAGCTTGAGGCCATCTTAGGCCGTCTTGGGTGCATCTTGGGCCGTCTGGGAGGCATTTTGGAGCCATCGTCGCCGTCTTGGAGGCCATCTTGGCCGTCTGGGATGCATCTTAAAGACCATCTTGGGCCGTCTTGGAGCCGTCTGGAGCAGGGAAAACCTGTGCAACCAAACCAGGTTTTGAGATCCTTCCCGGGACCCCAACGGGACGCGCCAGAGCCCCAGGGGGAGTTCTTGTGGAAAAAGAGCCAAAACCAAAAGCCATGTAGTTCGGCACGCCAGGCACCTCTGCGATGAATCGACAGGGGGCGGCGGATCGAAGACGCCTACGGCGAATCACTGCCGCCCCCTGCCTTTGTGGAAGCGCCTACGTGGCCGAACGTTGAGGCCAGACCTGCCAAGCTATCGGACCATGTGTTCTCCGAATCGGTTTGGAAAGCCTTCGGGGAACACGTGGGCATCTTGAAGGTCATCTTGGCCGTCTGGAGGCCATTTTGACCCTTTCTGGCCTTCTTGGAGGACTTCTTGGAGGGCTCTTGGACCGTCTTGGAGGCCATCTTGAGCGTCTTGGAGACCTCTTGGGCCGTCTTGGGGGCCTCTTGGGGCCGTGTCTTGGGCCTCTTGGGCGATCTTTGGGGGCACTTGGACCGTCTCGGGCCGTCGGAAGGCAGAAAAACAACAAATGCCACAATCCTTCAAAAACTCTCCATGATTTTGGCCTTTTCGGGCCTTCCTGGAGACCCTCTTGGAGGCCTCTTGGGCCATCTTGGGCGCTCTTAGGGCCATGTGCGGCCGTCTTGGTGGGCTCCTGGTCCGTCTGACGCCGTCGGAAGCCGTTTGGGGGGCCTCTATGAGCCGACTTGGGGCCCTCTTGGAATGCTCCAGGGCCGTCTTGGAGACTATCTTGGGCGTCTTAAAGGCCTCCTGTGCCGTCTTGGGGGCCTCTTGGGGCCGTCTTGGGGCCCTCTTGGAGCCGTCTTGGAGGCCACTTGGGCCGTCATGGGGCGGGCCCTCTTGGGGGCCTCTCGGGCGATCTTGGGGGCCTCTTGGGCCGTCTTGAGCCGTCGGAATGCCGAGAAGAGGCAAATTCCCAAATCGTTCAAAAACTTAGGACAAACAAATCAATGATTTCGGCCTCTTCGGGCCTTCCTGGAGGACCTCTTGGAGGCCTCTTGGGCCGTCTGGGAGGCCTCTGGGGGGCCTCTTGGGCCGTCTTGGACTCTCTTGGGCCGTCTTGGAGGCCGTCTTGGACCATCTTGGGCGGACTTGGAGGCCATCTTGGGCTATCTTCGTGATTTTTTGAAGATGTCCCGAGCGAAACGGCCGTTTCAGGCATTGACTGATGCAGTTTCCGGGTGGCCGGCCGGACGTGCCGGAGCCCCATGGGGAGTTCTTTTGGAAAAAGAGCCAAAACCAAAACCGAGAGGATTCAGCACGCCAGGCACCCCTGCGATGAATCGACAGGGGGCGGCGGATCTTAGGGCCTTCGGCGCATCCCGCCACCGTGCTTCGGTTGTGGATGTTGGTTGGGATTTCGTGGGAGGCTTCACGATCTTTCGGCGACTCGGGCCCTCTTGCTTCTTGGGCAGTCATGGAAGCCTTGGAGAACCTCAGGGAGGGGCCATGGCCGCCCAGGCAGCCCCCTGGGAGTAGGGGTGGTGCAGTTGGCGGTGTGCGTCCCGCAGACGCGGGGTCCCTTAGAAGACCACAGAAATCTGCCAGGCAGCCCTTGGCATTCTTCCACGCCTCAACGTGCCACAAACACGATGGCGGATGACCCGAAAGCCCAGACATCCAACGCATTGAAAAGAGAAGACGGAGGTCTTTCGTTGTTTTCGGTCTTCTGGGGCCCTCGCTGGGCCCCCGGACAGAACCAACAAAAAAATCAGAATGACAAGCCAGTCCAGGGGAATGGGTCAAGACATCCGGGGGTCCACGTCATGGAACAATCATGATTTCTGGGGTCAGGGCAGCCCACTTTTTAGCGATGAAAGGGCCAGTCTCTGTGTTTTTCCCTCGATCCCGTGATGGTGTTGCCGAGGTCTGCGCGCGGCATCGATCGGCTCGGCTACTGCAGGTTCGCGGCGTGCCGACGCGACGGCGACCCCCGCGAGGGCGCTGAAAGTCTCAACGCCGCCCGCGGCGGCCCACATCGAAGCGGTCTTCCCTGTGGGAAGTGGCGATGGTTCGAGGCTGAACGATCCACGCGGTGTCAAAAACCAACGCTCAAGTCGTTTGATAGTGAGTCACGGCAGTTTCCGCTCGTCTGTGGTTGCGTGGAAATCGGCAAGGGGCGCAGAATAGCGTTCAACACCGCCAATTTAGCGCCCGACTGCGAACAGCAGCGCCGAACTCCGCTCAAACAGCGTCCAAGTGGCGCTCAGTAGCGACCAAGAGCACGCAATGGCGCCATGTGAGAAACAGCTATTCTGTCCACCGAGAGCCTCCGTGAGTTGCCTTCGAAAAGTCGTGACGGCACGAACCTGCTGTACGCACCCTCTGCGGGCAATATTTATATCCATATCCAGTGCGTCTTGGACTTTCTTGGAAGGGGCGCCGCAAGGCCGAGGCGCACTGGATATGGATAACAATGTATCCTTTTGGAGGCAGATTATAATCCATATCCAGTGCGCCTCATGTTTCTTGGGAAGAGTGTCCGGAACTCCAAGACGCACTGGATGTGGATAAAGACACTGCCCGCACCCTCACCGGCACTTTCCTTCCTCCACTGCTGGGGCCCGCTCCAGCCGGCTGGACCATGCAGGCGGCCGGGCCGATCTGCTTCGCAGGGTCCCCCCCCCGGGCCGACTGCGGAGGTCTTTCCCGAGGATCCGAGGGCGGCGAGGGAGGCGGCGGCCCAGAGGGAGATGGCCGTGGAGGCCCTGAAGGTGGGGCCCATCGGAGCCGCCGCCGCCGCCGCCAGTCGCCAACGCGCCGCCGCCGTCGCCGTCGCCCGGGCCTCCCGAGATGCAAGCGGAGGGCCCTCGGGGGCAATAGCACGTGGGGGGCTCGAGGGTTGCAGGGACGTGGCCCCGAAGGGGCCCTGGGGGGCCCCCCGACGGCCACCGCGGGCCCCAAAGGTATACAGTGGAACCCCATGTCAAGAAACACCCTGCTTGCCTCCAGGGTGCTCTGGGTTTCTTCGGCTTCGATGGTTTTGCTATGGGAAGCGTGACGTTCCCACACCCAAATCTATGAACGTCCTGGGGTCTCAGGGTTGGGTTTCTTGTGGAAGGTTTCTTGTGGTCGAGCTCCCACTGAGCGCGAAAGGTGCACGTACCTTCGCTCCATGTCTCTTGCTTCCCGTTGGCGAGCATCCGAGACATGTGGGTTCTGCATTTTTTTGGGGGGGGGTTTTGTTTTGTTGAAGTTTCTGGGCTTCCTGCCCCTCGTCAGCCCCCTGCCAAGGCTAGAGAAGTGAATGCTGCAGGCGCATCGGCCTGGGCCGGTGGCACCACGAGTGCCCGGCAGGCCCGAGCGTGGCCTCGCTCGATTGCTCACACGGCTCGCTTCGCGGTCGGCCTCATCTTGTCTTACTGGAGGATGACGATTAATAAATGACCGGGGGTCGTGTTCACGCGGCGGCGCCCGGGATGACGATTAGAATAAACCGGCCGCGGGCTGGAAAACTATTCTTTTAATCGTTCTCCTCCAGTCAGAAAATTGTGCAGAAATAGCAGGAAAAAACTATTTTTCTCTCATTTTTTATTCATCGTCATCCCGCATTAGCCTCCCTCCTCCCCCCGCCCTCCCTCCCTCCTCTCTTCTCCCTCCCCTCTTCTCCCTCCTCCCTCCCAGCTCGAACGCATCCGAATCACTCGAGCCGCGGCCAGGGAGGCGCAGGCGCCCTTCGCGCCCCCTGGCATTCGGCCACGTCGGCTCCGTCCCGGAGTCGTGGTCAGAGCGTGCCCGGGAAAAGGCGAAAAGGCCGGGGGGAGTACGATGGCGGGGGTGTCTAAAGTTGGGTGAGGACTGGGAAGTTTGTGGCCAGGAAGGGCTGGCCCCGAGACAGATTCGAGAGTTCTTCCTTCCCGCTCCTCCATGGGGGGAGGGCATTTTCGTCGCCGAATCGGGGGGGGGGGCGGAGGAAGTGTTTGTTGGTTCTTGGAGGTTTTCTCGGCTCGGAATGCTTTCCAGCCGCTGCGCCTCGTCGAGAGCCTCCTGGGGGTGCCCGGATCGTCCCGAACGGCTGCCGGAGGCCCGAGTGACGAGCCGAAAGCCGTCTGGCGTCGAAGGAGGGGGCTGAGGACGAGGTGTGTGTGTGTGTGTGTGTGTGCGTGCGTGTGTGTGTGTGTGTGTGTGTGTGTGTGTGTGTGTGGATGTGTGTGTGTGTGTGTGTGTGCGTGTGTGTGTGTGTGTGGATATACCATGGCCGCGGGGCCGTGGAAGCGCCCCAGACTTCATGCCGCCCCCTGCTTCTTTCATTATACTTCCCCTCCCCCCCCCCTCGTCCGAGCACATGCCTCGAGCCCTGATTCTTGGGCGTGCGCCGCACCGCCGACCCCTTGGGGGGGCTCCCAGCAGGTCTCTCGGGGGCCTCCTGGCAGCACTTTCGAAGCTTTTTTGGGGGGCCGTTTGGGGGCCGTTTTGGGGCCTCTTTTTGGGCTTCTGGTGGGCCTCCTGGAGGCTTCTCGGGGCCGAGGGCTCGAAATTTCCGTTCGGGTCCTCCGCCTGGGTCCCTTCCCGGAGCCGTCTTGAGGGCCTCTCGGGCCGTCTTGGTGCCCTCTCGGGGCGTCTTGGAGCCCTCTCGGGGCGCCCCCGACGATGGGTTCGCGCCTTGTGTTGACACGGCGGCGACCTTATCGCGGGCGTCCAATGTTGAACGCCGCCAGTTCGGCACGCTCCCATCCGATGAGAAAGGCATACCGATACCGATACAGTCGGACCGAGGTATATGATCGAGGTCGGCTCGGGGAGGGTACCCTGATGTTCTTCGTGCTTGTTTTGATGCTCCTGTGCATCCTGGGGAGGGTGCCCAGGGATGTTCTCTGTGTGTTCTGGCCGGTGGAGGGCCCCATGCTCTTGAAGGGTGCTCTTCTGTCCTAGCTCCGACTGTGTCCTTCCCCCGTCTTCTTCTGGCTGGGGCACGGGAGGGCCACAAGTGGCCACAGCTTCCGGAGGTCCAGGCGCCGAGACTTCCAGGCTCGGTGCCGGACCCCCCTGCCCACACCGCCGTCTGCCTCTTCGTCGGCGCACGAGTGCTCTCCGCGCGCTGGGGAAGGGGCGTGTCACCGAGCGCGCTCCGCTGCTCGCAAGGTGCCTGCTCGCGAGCATCCGACACAAACAGGTCCTCCTCCACTTGCTGGGCCGTGACCCCCGCGCGGATCCGGGCCATGTGCGAGCAGCTGCCCGGCGAGTGGGGGAACGCGCTTGTCCAGCGTGGGTGGCTTACCAGCCTAGAGCCTCTCCCTATCCCTCTGCTGGGCAGCGCCTCATCACGATGGCGATCTCAGGGATTCCCTCCGTTTCTGAGGGTGCATCCCCAAGATTGTCATCGCCTCTGGGCGTGTCAATCTTAGGGATAGGGATCAGTTCGAGGCTGGTTAGTGGTGGGTGGGGTGGGGGGGGGTGCAGCGCCGCAGCGAGAAGTCCGCGCGGGCCTCCGAGCGCCTTTGCCTTCTGCAGCCCTCTGTGCTGCTCCGTGTGCTCGGGCATATCCCGCGGGGGCCCTCGGCGCCACGGCGGGGTTCCCCTCGCGGCTCCATGGCCAGAGCGCCCCCCTCGGGGGTTGACAGGACCCCCAACAGTGACACGTCGATTCGTGAATTGCCCGTTTTCGGTGCTCGCGAGGGCGCCGCGGCCGTCATTTTCCAGGCCTGCGCCCGCCAGGTTTGGGCCTCAGGTCGGAATCACTAAACCACGTTTTACTAAAGGGAGGTCTGTCCATCCCCGAAGAAGGGAGCCGTCAGCATTTTTTGGGCTCACGGCCTCCAGGGTCGGCCTGCTGGAAGTCCGCCTGGCGAGCACAGCGGCCTGACGGGAAAGGGGTCCCAGAGGCTCTTCTCGCCTTGGCATCGCTCGGACGTGTGCATTTTTCCTCGGCGAGAACTATCGAGGACCATCCTGGACCATCGAGGACCATCCTGGACCCCCCCCCCCCCGGCGGCAGAGGTCCGGGGAGCAGCGGGGCACCGAGCCGCTCGGCTCGACGAGGCCCCCCCCCCGCCACGCGGGGCGGAGCGGCGCGCCGTCTCCGCCTGCAGGGCACAGAGTCGGAAGCGACGAGGAGGATCGGGGAGCCTGCCCCAATGGGGGTGCCCTTGCAGCCTGTGGGAAGAAAAACACACACTGTGGGAAAAACACACCAAACAACACACACTGTGTGTGTGTGTGTTTTCCCCACACACTGTGTTTTTCCCCCCCCACTGTTTTTTTTTTCGGGGGGGGGGGTGTTTTTTTTTTCTCCCACTGTGTTTTTTTCCCCACAGCCTCGTCGTTCCATCCTCAGCCACTCTCGACGGCCAGCCCCGCTCGAGGAGCTTCGGCACGGGCGTCCAGGGGGCTTGCCTCCTTTTCTCTAGGCCTCCTGGACGGGGTCGGAGCAGGTGGGGTCGGAGGATCGCGCCGCATCGGCGATGCATCGGCGAAGCGTCGGCGATGCGGCTCGATGTGGGGCATGATTTTCCCCTACGCCGACGTCGCCGAGGCATCGCCGACGTCGCCAGTGCATGGCCGATGCATGGCCGATGCATCGCCGACGCATCGCCGATGCATCGGCGATGCGGCGCGATCCCCCGACCCCTTCTACTCCGACCCCATCGAGGAGCTTAGCATCGCTCGGACGTGTGCATTTTTCCTCCGGCGAGGACCATCGAGGAGCATCCTTGATCATTCGGCGAAAAAACCACGCACGAAACCGAAAAAAAACAGGGAATGGACGTCCGAGCGATGGCGAGGGAGGCCTCTACTTAATTATCGGGCATCCTTCCTATCAGTTATGGCTGTAGCGTGCCGCCGCGGCCGCCGCGGCGGCACGCTGCTCCCCGGCCGCCCAGGCGGAGCTCGAGAGCGCCCGGGACGAGCACACCCCGAGCGACGTGGCCTTGGAGGTTCGGGCCGGACGAAAGGGGGGGATTGGGAAAGGGGGGGGTTACGAAATTAGCTGCATGCAGCTGGTTTTGGCCCCACCGAGGGGCCCATTCCTCGATACATAGTCGCCTCCGGCGCCGGAAGGCGCCGGGAAAATCAGCTACGTGAGCTGATTCTCAAACCCCCCCTTGGCTACCCCCCCCTTTCGCCCGACCCGAGAGGTCGCCGAGGCCTCCCTGGCCTGGAACCCGACGGAGCCCGCGCAGGAGGTCGCGCAGGCGGCGCCCCCGGGATCCCTCGGGAGTGCTGCGCAGGGCGGTCCAGAGGCCCAGACATCCCCAGACCCCAGGCCTGGAGCCATGGAAAGATCACGACCGGAAATTTGTCGCTATTTGCGGCCACTGGGGGCCCTCACCGGGCCTCGGGACCGTCAGAAACGATTCGGGATGACGAGCTGGCCCCGGGGAATGGATCCGGACCGCTGGGGGTCGCGTCATGAACAAATCATGACGTCGGGCGTCTGGGCCCATCGCATCGGAAAAATGCAGACGGAGGTCTTTCGTCGTTTTTCGGCCCTCCGGGCCCCAGGGCCGTCAGCGAGCGACTCAAAGGGAGAAGCCGGCCCTGGGGACACGGTCGGGACATCTGGGGGCCTCGCATCGAAAAAAATCAAGGCACCGTATCGACCAGGGGAGAAGGGGAGACAACTGCAACCGCCGCCCCCCTGGGGTTGACCCCCGCCCTGGGCGGTGATGACCCCACGCGACACCCGAAAACAAGGGCCCCGCAGGGTCATGACTGCTCGAGGCGGGGTCGGCCCTTGTGGCGGCGGCGGTTGCAGTTGCCTTTTCCTCTCTCCTGGATCGAGGGATCCAGAAGTTGACTTCGGCGGAAGGTGGCAGAAGGCCAGCAGCAGCCAGCGGAAGCAAACTGAGGGCGGGGGCGCCAGCAGAAGCCAGCGTGAGGCCGGCGGAGGCTGGCGTTAGTAATACATTCGCCCCCACGGCCCAAGATGTGTCGTTTGGCATTCAGAGACATTCAGGTTTTCTTGAGCGGGTCGCGTACGAGTGGTTACGAGCGTTTGTACGTGAATCGCCAGTGGCAGTCCAAAAAGGAATATTCCAGGAGTAATTGGAGTCTTTCGAAGCCTGAATGAGTACACAAGAAAGGCCACGGGAACACAGATGTCCAGACCACTCCGCATAAGCATGTCGGAAGGCCTGGCTTGGGCTCCAGATCTTCGAGTGACCAGTCGTCTACTGTGCCGACGCTGGGTTTCCAGCGAGCGGATAATCTGTGTCTCTTCTAGCTCTCCCTGCGCCTCCTCCCCTTCCTCTGCCTCCTCCTTCACCTCCCCTCCCTGGTCATCCTGAGCTCCTCCTCTTCATCTGCTCCACTCACTGGACTCCCTTGGGCAGCCTGCCCAAAGAGGGGGCCTTTCGGGCCCTTGGGGGCCCTGCGGATCTAGCCCGTGCGCCAGGAGGGTCAATGGTCTGAGGAGCTTTAGGAGGGGACAAAAAGCACGGACACAAGTAATCGTCGACTCCTAAGACGATCTGGGAAAATATGGGGAGTGTGGGGGGAAGACGAAAACCTGGATGATATGAGGCGATGTTGGGAATCCTGAGGCTTCTGTCTATCTGGGTGTCCCAGGGCCCCTCAGGAGCTCCCGGCCAGAGAGCAGCCCGGGCCCGCCCTGCCCGTGGCGGGCCTTCGGTTGGCACGCACGTTTTTTTTGCCGGCTCCCGCCTCCCTCCCTCCTCTTCCTCCCCCTCTCCTCCTCGTCATCCGCATCCTCGCCGTCCTCCCCGTCTTCCTCGTCTCCTCATCACCCTCGTCGTCGTCGTCGTCGTCGTCGTCGTCGTCGTCGTCGTCGTCGTCGTCGTCTCCTCTTTCTGCTCGTGCTTCTCTCTTGCTCCTCCCGGCGCGTGTCGGCAGCATGGCTCCCCCCTGGGGCAGCGGAAGCTGTCCGCGCCGCGATCTGCGCTGCAGTTCTGCGCCACGGCGTGCCGCTCCCCGCGGGTGCGCGCGGTGTGGCCTCCACCACCTACGGGGCCTTCTCCTGCCACGTCCCGGTGGATGGCAGCCTCCAGCGCCCCCCTCCCCGGTGGACTGCAGGTGGTCCCAGGGGCAGCCGCCGCTGGCAGTCTCCTCCTCCTCCTCCTCCTCCTCCTCCTCCTCCTCCTCCTCCTCCTGGCATCTCCCTGCACCAGCCGCGGCCCGCGGGGCTGCAGCACGAGCCCCTCCGCCCCCCCCCCCGGCGCGAGGCCACGACGGACGCCCCGGCGGAGGCGCGGCGGGCCCCGGAGGAGGCGCGGGCGGCGCAGGAGGCCGCCCGGGCGGCGGAGGAGGCGCAGGCCCGGGCCGCGGCCAGGAGGGCGGCGCGGGCGCCGGCCACACGCACCCGAACCCCAGACCCCCTCGGGTCGGGACAAAAATCACGACGGGAGGTTTTTCTCCATTTTCGGCCCCCAGGGGGCCCTTACCCTGACCTTCCAGAGTACTAAAAAATAGCCCTCCAGACCTATAGACCTATCTGGGCTGCCTAAAACCTCGACAGGAATTAGGATATCGAGGTCCTGGTGCTATTTTTTAGCCCTCCTGGAAGGTCAGCGTACCAGGCCTCGGGACCGTCAAGAAAACGACTCGGGATGAAAAACCGGTTCCCGGGAAGGGGTCCGGACCTCTGCAGGGGCCGCGTCATGAAACAATCATGACGTCGGTGGTCTGGGACCGAGGTGTCCCAGCCGGGGCCGGCCCCGGGCGGCCCAGGAGAGCGGTGCGCTGCACGCCCTCTTGGCTTCCCTGGGATCCCGGCGGTGCACTTTTTTCACAGCGGGCGTCTTCGGCCCAGTTCGGGCCCCGGGACCCTCGCAGATCGATCCAGCGCTCGAGAAGTATACGTACAGAAAGTTGGGGTCCCGGGCTTCCGTGTCTTTTTACCTAACAGCTTTTGCTGATAGGTTTCTAGTGGTCTCAACAGAGAGCAGCAGATGACTCCACAGGGGGGTCGGGGCGGGACCCGGGCGGCTGCCGCCGAAGCCCAAATCGCTTGGGACATCCTCGCAAAATCGCTCTTGGCGCTGCTAGAACTCCATCCCCGGCGTACATTTTGGATGCCCGGAGCCAACTGTAGGCCACTTCGTGGTCTTCGAGTTCCCAGAACTCCATTCCCGGGCCACATTTTGGATGCCCGGAGCCAACTGTAGGCCACTTCGTGCTCTTCGATTTCCCAGAACTCCATTCCCGGGCCACATTTTGGAATGCCCGGAGCCAACTGTAGGCCACTTCGTGCTCTTCAAGTTCCCAGAACTCCATTCCTGGGCATGATTTTGAATGCCCGGAGCCAACTGTAGGCCACTTCGTGTTCTTCTAGTTCCCAGAACTCCATTCCTGGGCCACATTTTGAATGCTGAGGCAGGCTGATGCTGCGGCCGAGGCAGGCTGAGGCTGAGGCAGGCTGAGGCTGAGGCCGAGGCTGAAGGCAGACTGAGGCTGAGGCTGAAGCAGACTGAGGCTGAGGCTGAGGCAGGCTGAGGCTGAGGCTGAAGCAGGCTGATGCTGAGGCAGGCTGAGGCTGAGGCTGAGGCTGATGCAGGCTGAGGCTGAGGCAGGCTGAGGCTGAGGCCGAGGCTGAAGGCAGACTGAGGCTGAGGCTGAAGCAGGCTGAGGCTGAGGCTGAGGCAGGCTGAGGCTGAGGCAGGCTGAGGCTGAGGCTAAGGCAGGCTGAGGCTGAGGCTGTGACTGCGACTGCCGTTGCCGTTGCGACTGTCATCGCGAATGCGACTACGACTGCGAGAACAGCAGAATTCGACAACTGGATTTTCATCTGAATCTTAAGGGGAATGCTTTCAGATATGCTTCTACACATCGCTGTTAGGTTGCTTTGCCGGGATTTTTTTTTTTGCGACGTTGCAGTTTTTTTCGCAACGGCGATTCTCAGGGTCCTGGCTTGGCGAGGCGGGCACCTGCGCACCGATCCTGCAGGCCCTGGGCCGGCCCGGCCGGGCTCGGTGCAGGCGCACTCCAGTCAGGAGCCCTGGCTTGGCGTGCCGCGCCCCGTCGCTCCTGGCCCGCCACGCCTCCGCGCGCCACGCGGGCCACGTCCGGGGTCCCCCACGCGCTGTCCGCTTGCCACGGCGCAGCGCGTCGCCGGGGCCGCCGCCGCCGCGGCGCGCCGAGCCAGAGCTCCTGACCGCCGCGGGCGCCCTCCGAAGGACGGCGGAGGCCGAGGAGAAGCAGCAGGCGCAGGCGGCGCAGGCGGCGGAGGCGGCCTCTGCCCCTCTATCCGTCCCTCTCTCCTCCCTGCTCCGTTCTCGCCCCTCCTCCCTCCTCGCCCGCCTCCCTCCTCGCCCTCCTCGCCCTCTCCTCGCCCTCGCCTCGCCCTCCTCGCCCTCTCCTCGCCCTCCTCGCCCTCCTCCCTCCTCCCTCCCTTCACTGGCCTGCCCCTCGTCCCTCCGCCTCCTCCCCGCCAGCCCCCGCCCCCCCACCCCCTTCCCTGCGCGCCCCCCGCGTCGCGAGCGGCGGCGGGGGCCGCCGCACGGGGGGTGGCCCCGAGGCGCGCGCAGCGCGAGGGCGGGGGGGGGGCCTCGTGTCGGGGGCCCTCCTCCTCCTCCTCCTCCTCCTCCTCCTCCGCCTCCTCCTCCTCCTCCTCCCCTCCTCCGCCCACCTCCGCCTCCGCCTCCGCCTCCGCCTCCGCCTCCGCCTCCGCCTCCGCCTCCGCCTCCGCCTCCGCCTCCGCCTCCGCCTCCGCCTTCGCCCCCGCCCCCTCCTCCTCCTCCCCCTCCTCCTCCTCCTCCTCCTCCTCCTCCTCCTCCTCCTCCTCCTCCTCCTCCTCTCTAGAGAGGGCCTCGCGAGGATCGTGGGGTCGAGGAGCGCGGCTCGACCGAGGAGGGAGGACCGACCGAGGATCCGAGGGCCGAGGAGCGAGGATGGAGGGCCGGCCGAGGGTCGAGCATGGAGGATCGAGGATCGATCGAGGATCGAGGATCGAGGATCGAGGATCGAGGATCGAGGATCGAGGATCGAGGATCGAGGACCGATCGAGGATCGAGCCACTCGAGGATCGAGGATCGGAGGATCTCGCCCCAGGCGGAAGCCAGAGGTCAGGTGCAGCTGCAGGGGGGGCGCAGGTTGAGTCGGGCCTGTCCCTCTACACGGGGAATATCTTCAAGCATAGTCCAAACACATGGTCTGGGGACGATTTGGCTGACATCTTTTGGGCATGGTTTGGGGGCTCCTTGTTTGGGGTATCCTTAATGTTTCGTCCAAAATCCCTCTGTAGGGGCACCGGCCCGACGTAAGCGTCGGGGGGAAGGCATTTACTCCCAAATCGTCCAGACATGCAGCGCCGATCGGGGCCCAGCGGGCCCGCCCCGCCCAGGAGCGCCCGGCTTTCTGCGCCAGCGGGGGCCCGATCGCCAGTCTCTCTCTGCGGTGTGCTTGGCGTCGCTCGGACGTGTGCATTTTTCCTTTCGGCGAGGGCCATCGAGGAGCAGCCTTGATCATCTGGCGAGAAAGCCACGCACGAGACCGAACAAAAAACACAGGGAACGGACGTCCGAGCGATGGCCAGTGTGCCGTCGAGTCCAGGCCGAGGTTTCCCTCCCTGAGCCGGCCCCCCCCCATCGTTGCCTTTCAAGACGAATCGATTAGACGTGAGAGCGGCCTTTCGCCGGAGTGACCTCTGGTGCGGGCCCAGTGGGGCCCCCCAATCGCCGAACGCGATGCGATAGCCCTGCAAGACGAATCGACTAGACGTAAGAGTGACCTTTCGCCGGAGTGACCTCTGGTGCGGGCCCAGTGGGGCCCCCCAATCGCCGAACGCGATGCGACAGTAGCGCCTTGCGCGCCTGTGTTTGGTCCCCCCGCGGCCCCCGAAAAGCCGCGCACCAAAGGTCACTCCTACCCGGGGTCACTCCTGCTTGTCCTCCAATTGTGACCACAAGTTGCTGTCCGACGTAAGTGTTTGCCAATTATCCCGACGTGTTGTGTGAATAAACTCTGCCACATGATCGATCCATCTCCTGTGAGGTCGATTTGGTAGTCGCTTTGCACGTGTATTTGTGTTGGTAGGGTCCCAAAATAAAGCTTTTCGGCTCCACTTCCCTCTGTGTGTCGTTGTATGTGCACCGTACAAACAGAGACATGTCTACCCTTGACTGAGTGAGCGGCGCCGTGGCGCCCACTCCCAGCCCCGCGCGCGGCCGCCTTCACGGGCGAACTGGGAGTCGCCTCGCCTCGCCTCGCCTCACTCCTGCGTGTAGCCGAACGAAGGCCCGCGGAAGCTGGCTGAATTAAGGCGGCAGCGGTCACACCGGCGGAAACCGGCGGCAAGTCTGGCGGAGGGCGGCGGGAGCGAAAAGCGAAAGTGAGAAGAAGGGAGCCGTCGGCATTTTTTGGGTCCACGGCCTCCAGGGTCGGCCTTCTGGAAGTCAGCCTGGCGAGCACAGCTCGGGTATAGCCAGGACCCCGGATAAGGGGACCCGATTAGTGGTAGGGCCCTGGGGCCCCTCAATTGGCCAGATTCACTAAACCAGGCTTGCTGTGACTGGTGTTTTTCGGGTGACGGCAGTTCCGTTTAGTGGAAATGGGACGGGGGGGCGCCCCTGATACAAATCACTAAACCAGGTTCCACTAAACCCTGTTCTGCCAACGCCCGAACAGCGGCCTGACGGGAAAGGGGTCCCAGAGGCTCTTCTCACTGTTCTTCGCGGGCTCCCGTGGGGCCGTCCTGGGGCTACCCGGAAGCCATCACAAGCAAGCGGCCTGGCATGAAACTCGGGTCCCTGGGAAAGCGCAGGTGTCCAGGACTTTCCTTTCGCCCAGGGCTCGGTACTATGTCGCAGGGGGGGGGCTTGCTGAAGTCCCTCCCTTGAGATCCCCCGCTGCGAAACAAGTGCAACATCGCCCAAAACCACAACTGGAGCCCCGGACCCCATGTTTCATTGCCAGTTTCCGAGCCGGCTCGATCTGTGAGGGTCCCAGGGCCCGACATGGGGCGGAAACGCCCAGTGTGAAAGCAGTGCAGCGCCAGGATCTCGGAGCCTCGCCCTCTCAGCGGCCTGGCCGCCCGGGAGGCCGCTCCCCTAGCCGTCGTCGACGCTCGGACCTCGACCCTCGATGCCTTTGTGCCCTGGCATCGCTCGGACGTGTGCATTTTCTTCTCGGCGGGGACCATCGAGGACCTTCCTGGACCATCGAGCAACGGAAAACACGCACGAAACCGAAAAATGCACGGGAAATGGACGTCCGAGCGATACCGAGTTTGTGCGCGCCGCAAGGAGCCAGTCCCAGGCGTGGACGACGACCCCTTCGCCGAGGCCGCGCCGGGGGGCGCCGCGGAGGGCGCGGCGGAGGGCTCCGCGGAGGGCTCCGCTGGGGGCTCCGAGGGTGCCGCGCAGCAGCTCGCGCAGGTCGCGACCCTTGCCGAGGATCCTCCCCCGCGAGTTGGAGGAGGAGAGGTGAGGGACCCTCACATCATACCCATGCACGTCCCACTTCTTCCCTCCATCATGGCCCGCGCCTTGGCATGAGCATCTGAAGACCAACGCGCGCCTGGCAACTTATGTTTGGTGACTGTCCAGATCTTGCCAGGCATGCGGTGTCACCGCGTTACCCACCAAGGTATAGCTGGGTTGGGCCCGACCCAAGTGAGAGCGGAGGGAGGAGGAGGGGAGGAGGATGGAGGTTCGATGTGGAGGATGGTGGAGGTGGTGATGATGGTCACGATGATGTCGATGGTGACGACGACGGCGCTGACGACGCTGCTGCTGATGATGATAGTGTTGATCATGATGATGATGATGCTGATGATGGTGATGCTGATGCTACTGGTTGTGATGATGATGATGCTGATGATGATGATGATGATCATGATGATGATAATGATAATGCTGATGATGTGGATGCTACTGATTATGATAACGCTGGTGATGGTGATGCTGATGATGAGGATGATGATGCTGATGCTGATGTTGATGCTGATGATGATGCAGGTATTGTTGATGATGGTGGTGACGATGATGCAGCTAATGATGATGCTAACGATGCTGCTGCTGCGGCTGGTGATGATGATGCTGATGATGATGATGATGATAGCGATGATGATGAGGATGCTGATGATGATGTATATCTTGATGCTGCTGATAAAGATGCTGATGATGAGGATGATGTTGGTCATGATAATGATGATGATGATGATGATGATGATGATGATGATGATGATGATGATGATGATGATGATGATGATGATGATGATGATGATGATTATGACGATGATGATGATGATGATGATGATGATGCTGCTGCTGATAATGATGATGATGATGATGATGAAGCTGATGGTGATGATGATGATGAGGATGGTGATGATGATATGATGATGATGCTGCTGATGCTGATGCTGCTGATGATGATGATGAATATGACCACGGTATTGATTAGAGCTGGGTGGTGTTGATGATTTCGGATGTTGCTGTGTGGTGAGTGTGATGGTGTGGAGGGGTATGGTAGTGATGATGATGCTGATGATGATGCTGATGATGCTGCTGATGATGATGGTGATGCTGCTGACCATGATGGTTATGCTGATGATAGTGCCGATGGTGGTGGTGGTGGTGGTGATGGTGATGATGATGGAGATGACGATGATGATGATGGCTTTTGCTGCTTCTGCCGATGGTGATAATGAGGATGATGATGATGATGATGATGGTGATGATGATGATGATGATGATGATGATGATGATGATGATGATGATGATGATGATGATGATGATAATGATGGTGAGGATGATGATGATCATGATGATGATGGTGGTCAGGATGGTGATGTTTCTCTGGATGATGATGACGATGCTGCTGTTCCAGATGAGGAGGAGTGGCATGCTTGACTTAGCAGGGCGAGTCAGATTTTGATGATGCCGATGACGATGGTGTCGTCGCTTAGAAGGACGAGGAGGATGAATATGAGGATGATGATGGTGGTAACGGTCCTGTGATCGTGTTGGCGCAGCTGCAGACGCTGAGTAAACGGCTGTTGCTATTGCAAATGGTGCAGCTGATGCTGATGGAATTGATGATGATCATGATGACGATGCTGATGACGATGGTGGTGATGATCGTGTTTATGATCATGACGATGGTGATTATGAGGATGACGATGTAGCTACTGCGGGTGATAATATCGCCGATGCAGACGACGATGCTGCTGCTTACGATGTCGATGATGGTGATGATGTTGATGGTGGTGGTGATGATATCGATCCTGATGCAGGTTTTATGCTTCTTGTAATCATGCTGGTGATGATGAGGATGATGATGCTGATGGCGAGACTGACGATGATGATGTTGATGATGCTGATGACGCTTGCGATGTCCATGGCAATGACGTTGACTTCGATGATGGGAACGACGACGGTGATGATGACATTGATGATGATGATGATGATGATGATGATG